TTTTGTTTTTATATATATCATTAAAATTATTCACCTTGAGTTGTAATACAATGCAACAACAAAAATGTGTTCAAAACCTGCCAAACAAATCAGGCAATATTCTCTTCTTAAAAATAATGTGCAAGTGAAATGTTTGCAATGCAAGAAGCCATGTCAGTAATATATCTCTTCAGAAGGCGCTGTGCCATGGTGAAATTAACCAAGGAGGTAACATAAGGCTGTCAACACTATGATTTAATTCATTTACAATGATTTTGACGTAAGCGGCCTCACACTACAGAATTTATACAATAAATGTGAAATGCTTAGTGCATGAATGGAAGATGTTAGAAACTGTGCAACATTAACACTCTTCACTCAGTGTCATAGATTCAAGCAGTTTGTATTATTTACAGTTCTTAATTTTTCTCTTGAATACTGTACTGGGGGGCAAGGGAAGTAGCTGGTACAGTTTTACGTGAAATAAAAAGGGCTTTTTACAATTTACAAGGAGGAAAAAAAGACGTTTTTACAGTTTACAGAGAAAATAAATGTTACAATGTATTTTACATTTTACGGAAAATTGAAAAAGATAATTCTTGTTCGTACCGAGAAAAATGACACATTTTTGCAGTGTACGAAAAAATATTTGATTGATTACATTGTACGTCTAGCCTGTGATTAAAGAATTACAGAATTTATTTTTTCAACTTACGTTGTACGAACAAAAAAATAATCCAATTACGTTGAACGAAAATAACCCTTGCCCCCCCCCCCCCCCATGTACATGATTTCACAACTAGAGAATGGGATAGTAATAAGAACTGACATTTATTCACTAATTCTTTTATTCATTTATAAATAATAACATATGATATATGAATTATTGCACAATTGGCTTTGTAATATCGGAATGCTGCTGTAATTACTATGTGCATGTATATTCATTTTTATACTGAACAGATAAAGGAGCTACATCAAGATTCATTCATTCATTCATTCATTCATTCTCTTTTCTATGATAGAAACACAGCAGACATGGGTAACAACACATGGAATGACAGTTAAGTTTCAATATGCTGCACCAGTATCTTTGGCGAGAAAAATGATTATATTTCTATATTTCTAAAATTTGTAGTTAATATTGGAATAGAATGTAATACCTGTAATTCTGTTGTTTCCTCACTATGATTTGTTGTATCACATCTTCTTCTTCGGATACCATCATCATCCAATATACTTTCAGACATAGTTGACTCAATATGTATACATGCACACTAGATTATACTGTGAATATACAACAGGTTATCTGAGGTTAATTCCAGATAGTGTCTGAGATAGCATGTGGTTTTGTGAGAAGCAGCATGGGAAAAATGTATGTACTAATTGGGGATTTTTTGTTCACTGTGAAAGCAGCGGTTATAACATCTGCCGCAAGCATCAAATGATTGGATTTTGAACCTGAATTTCTCGATTTTTAAAGTTCAGTGTCAAAATTCCCATCTTTCAGAGAGAAATATGACATTGAGATATCTTTACTTCATCAATATTTACCCTCATAAATTGTGTAAGCACATTAATAAGTGTGGCAATACCTGAAAAATAATTTTACATTTGTCAAAATCTATCTATCTTGTTGACACCACCACAACACTATGACCTTTGTTAGTCCCGTCTTCATGTTTGATTTCACGCATAAAACTCAGTGAAAAATTAAAACAGATCTTTTGAGAAACTACAATGAGGTGCTTCAAACTACCACTAAGTACCATGATAGTTTATCTTCTATATACGCTATGAATAACCTAGTTTTAACCACATTAGCAAATAAATAAATCATGAGAAAGTGGATGAACAGAAATCATATGTGCACGTATATATCTGTGTTATGCATATCAACGCACATAAAAAGTGCATTTTCAGAACCGTTAAAGGAGAACCTGCCAAACCCAGGGATTGCACCAAGGAATCATGGGACACTATTGTTTATGTTGTTTACAATATTAATCTATCTCTTGTTATCCATTGTAATTTTAATCCAGAAAGAAAATTTGTTGTGGGATTAGGCTTAAATGGAGATGCCCCTTTAACTGATACTTGCAGTACAATCAAAACAAATTTTGTTACAGACAGAGATCAACTTTGAATATAGAAAAAATGATATACCAACTGACTTAGCATCTCATGCAAGCACCCACCCATTACTTTTGTACAATTTCAATTTCAGGGATCACGTTTAAGCACCCCTCCCTTTGTATAGAATCAAAATAGAAAAGTTTTGAGCGAAGACATGGATACAAATTTGAGTTACCGAAATTATTAATAATAATGAGAACGAAGGAGACAGACATTTTACCTTTTATACCTTGCAATTTTTATCGTTAAGAGCAAGGTTGTGATAAACAGATATGTAGAAAGTATTTGTAAGAAGTAATCAAGTTCACTCTGGATGTCAACCGTATACTGACTACAATGGATATAGGTGACAGAATGAAAACAATGCATTCAAACAATAAAGCATATACTGTGAAAAACAAAGACAAAAGGGTGCTTGGTAATAAAATCATGAGTTTAAAATGGTGGCTAATGTATGCAAAATGCCTCTACATCACAGTTTGAGTAATCGAGCATAATAAGCATTCATTTACTTAGTGGACAGAGGAGGAGTTAATTACCTATGAGCATGTGGTGCAATCAATGGGATTGAGCGATTCCCCTTTAAGCCCATTTCCTTTCCTACTTCACACATGACATATCATAAAACAAGATTATTAACTCAGATGACTGAGTCACCACACAACCTGTTTTATTCTTATTTTAATCTCATTTGTGCTTTAGAAGCTTCTGCAGCTTAGTAACAATATCAAGTTGATTGAAATCATATGTACTGCTACATTGTAGGTTATGCCCCATATATAAAAAACTTTATAATGACAAGTAAGACCAAACAAATAATTATAAATAAACAAAAATAACATATAAAATTATAAACAAAAAAATTATTTTGAAACAAAGCAAAAAATTGGAGAATATACCAGATTTTAATCAGTCAGTAACATCATTACAGAGCATGCAGACACTATTTTTTTTAGATTTAATCAACTTCTACAAAAATGTCAGACAATGTTTCAAGAAAATCATGTTTAGTATCCATTTTTTGCCTTGTTGTGGTCACAAACCAGTGGGATAAAGTTATGAAAATAAGTTATGCATTTTGACCAAATTAATATAAAACAACAAATTCCATGGTATCTCAAAAAATCTTAGAAATCTTTAAAAAAAATAATGTAATGTTCTTCAATTGTATGAAATAATGTTTGCAATAATTGGAATTTTATATTCAGATTATATTCAATATTTTTGACAACACTTATTTCATTATTTTTTTTTATTTCAACTGATAACATGGATTTAGGCGAGGGTTCACTGAACCCGCCTATTCACATAGTTCATACCCGCCATAGACTCCGGTCAGTCAAAATGACTATTTTGAACTGTAGGCATTAATCAGCGATTCTGCTGGTGACGGAGAGATAGAATCTAGGTCAGGGGAAGCCCCATGACCTCAAGATTCTTTTACATGTTACGTCACGAACCCACGTGACAGAGGTCACATGGCAGCACCATAGGCAGCCGTACAATCACTCCGGTTCCTTTCTCTCCGCCTTAGACCAACGCTACGGAAAGAGTGGGGTGGTTGGGGGGCCGGAGTCTATGGTGGGTATGAACTATGTGAATAGGCGGAGTCAGCAGGAGTGTTACGTACGTCGGGAGCTTGGCGTTTCGAGGTGTGGCAAACCGGTCCAACCTTGGACCATCCCACAGCCGAAACAGCCTGGAGGCTACCCACTGGGGTATCAGCCACTCTGTGTTCTGGAAACTATCAAATAACTTATTTGAAACTGTCTGAGTTACTAGAAAATCAGTTTGATTTAGTTACTTTGCTTTACTATAGTCAATATAGCACACAGATGGCTAAAGCACATTAGTTAATGGGGGTTCTTTCAGAAAATGTCACTGTTTTATATTATGCTTGGGTTGGTGGGTGCATTCAGCAGGGTGTGAACTGGCCCAGAAAAAGAAGTAAATGTTCTTTGTCAGTTTCATTGTATTTTAAACTTGTCACAAAAATGTCACATAAATATTTTTATTCTGGGTCTAGGGCTGCATGAATCAAGATTATGCAAGTGGGAAGACCAACATTATACAGTACACGGATTGAATGCCCGGTGGTAATTAATATGAAGTTCTTGTTGTCTATATCAAATTATTGGTTTTCCGTATATGCACATTTGCATGACCTCAAATTGTATACGGATTCACTTCAAGCTAACGTGAATACGGTCACAGGTCAACTCGCACCAAAACCAACTCACACCAGACCAACTCGCACCAATGCTAACTCGCACCAATGCCAACTCGCACCAAACCAACTCGCACCA